AACGTTAACCAGGATGACATTAAGTGAGGAGTTGCTGTACCTGGTCCTAAGTAAAATTAGTACACAATCTTAATCAGTCCTATGCCATCATAATCACTGCAGTAGGTGATGCTATTCTGGTTCTGATAGTCTTATGAACTTTAGAGAGAAGTAGAGTGGCCAGCTTTCTCATTTGTGAAAACCGGACACTGAGCACTGGAACCTGCTCTGCCTCTTCCCCCGAGGCCCCATCCCTTGTTCCACCTCTTTCCCTTGAGGTCCTGCACCCACTCCTCTTCTCCCCCCCGCGTCACTCGCTGTTCTCTCCATTACCCTCCCTCTGCCAGCTGAGCAGTGGTCTAGGGATGGGGGAGGTGCGACTGGGGCAGGATGTTGGAGAGAGAGTTGGGCTCCGTGGGTGGGGTGACTGGGGCAGGGCTGGGAGGGAGAGCTTTTATGTTTCAGTATTAATGCATGTGTGGTACTATCAAGTAAAGTTGCTTTATGTGATTGGTTTATATGATATTTAATTTCCTTAAATTAATATTTCAACTTCGTAAAAACATTAGGTTTTTTTACTAGAGAATAAATAATTACTGTGCTACAGTGCATAAACCAACATGGGGGCAAGCCAAATTACTTTCATTACCTTATTTTAATGCATTGAATTAACTTTGACACAAATCAGATCTATGATCTGGATGCTGGTCTTTAGACCAGGGGTCAGCAGCCTTTCGGAAGTGGTGTGCCAAGTCTTCATTTATTCACGGTAATTTAAGGTTTCGCGTGCCAGTAGTACATTTTACATTTACATGGGCCGGCGGCCGGGATCCCGGGCCAGCATCGGGCTGAGCTGCTCAGCCCGCTGCCGGTCTGGGGTTCCATCCGCCGGCCCCTCTCAGCTGAGGTCCTGGCCGCCAGCCCCGCTCAGTCTGCTGCCGGCCCGGGGTTCTGTCCATCCAGGCCAGCAGCGGGCTGAGCAGGGCCGGGCGGTGGGGACCCCAGGCCGGCAGCTGCGTGCCACATTAAATTAGCTTGTGTGCCGCAGGTTGCCGACCCCTGCTCTAGACTGTTACTTTGTCCTTCACATGTCATTTTATGCAGTTTTATCCAAGAACAGTCAGAATATGTTTTGCAACTTATCTATATATTCAAAATTCACTTCACTTTGTTCTGGAAAGTGAGCTTTGATCACTCACCATCTGTTGCAGTATTAATTATTATGAAATTATGTGTAACATTTTTAGCGAATTTATCTATGTTCAAGAATACTAAGCTTAAACTGACCTTACAACTTGTAAACAAGGACCCTAGTGGCCTGATACATTGATGCATGGCTTTGGCTTGTAAATTGGAATTAAGTCAAGAGATTCTTTCTAAGGAACGTGTGGAACTTGTCCTGTTAACTTTACTAACACAGAGAATTCCTAGAGGAGAGCTTCTGTTTACAATACATAGAAATCTGTTTACATATATAGAAAAGGCTGACTTCATCCAGATGCAGGTTTATAGCATTTTCTATGATAGTAACACTCTTTTTGTGCCGGTTAGTTTGTAAACCATTTTTGGAGATGAATTGTTTTTGTGGGTTTTTTTTTTTTAGACAGCAAGCTTTTCTTCTAAAATAGCATTTTTCAGTAGTGAACAAAGCTATCTTAAAGCTTTGGGTTTTTTGAAGTTGATTTTGGTTCTGAACTTGGTTGACTAAATTATGTTGTGATGTAGGAGACAGATGTAACATTCAAATGAATATCAGCACACTCACAGTACTGTCAGAAACTTTATATATAGGAAGGAAGTAATCAACTATGAAAGAGCTTTAATTATATTAATTATAACAAAACACATACATTTGTTACTGAAAACACTGTGCCACCTTGTGCAAGAGGATTGTGTTACTTGTTTATCTACAGAAAATTCAGCCATAGTGCTACTAAGGAAGGGTGAATTTGTCTGACTAAAGGAGGAATGGATTTCAACCTTTGCCCCAAACTCAAATCAAAACTGAATTTATGTGCCAAGTAAAATTGCACTGTCACTGAGAAACCAGAGTCTCCTGTAATTCCTTAATCCCAGCCTGCGCATCACACAGAACTCTGCTAGCAGAGCAGAGGCTATAGAAGAATTTATCAGGTTCCTTTATTAATATTTCATTTTTTAAAATTTTCACTCCAGAAGTACACCGCTACCTTGATAACACGACCCAATATAACACGAATTCGGATATAACGCGGTAAAGCAGTGCTCCGGGGGGAGGGGCGGTGGGGGGCTGCGCACTCTGGTGGATCAAAGCAAGTTCAATATAATGCGGTTTCACCTATAACACGGTAAGATTTTTTGTCTCCCGAGGACAGCGTTATATCGAGGTAGAGGTGTAGTGATTTTCCTATTCTGTACCTTCTCTTAGCTTCTCTGTTCCACAGATTGATTTATGATAAGTAAGACCAAGAAGCTCAATAACTTAAGATTGAGATCCCAGAACTAAGGGCAGGCATCTTTTTTTTTTTTTTTTTTTTAAGGTTGCAGGATCTTCTCATGGAAAGCCATGTGTGTCCCTGTGTGGATAATAAGTAGTGAGGCCCAATAAGCTTCTCATTGCACAAGGAAGCAAAAGTGCCCTTCAGTGAGCAGAAACTTTTTCTTGATGCAGGAGATGCGGATCAGAGAGGTTCTCAACATCAAAGTGGACTGTTCGATACAGGAGCGGACAATCTATTGCCAGGGAAAGGAATGGTCACAACCACCTCTGTTCATAAGCAGGGAAAAATTCAGGCCCTATCCATTAACAGGAAAAACTCCCTTTTTTCCCCTCACTAGCCAAGGTTGTTAAAAAGCTATGGTGAGGGAGTGGATTTAGGGGTAATTTTAGTAGAACCAAATTGGCTATTGAGGCTATGGAGCTAGGAGGCAATAGCAATGGCCATGAGGAAACCTTGTCGCATTTTAATAGAAAAATCTAAATTATCCAGGGGCCCAAACCAGTTTCTCCCTCCACTCATTGAGAAGCCATACTGTCAGACTTTTCCTCGCTTACTTGCCTGGGGTGCTGGGTGGATTGATTTAAATCATGATTTAAATTACCAAGTGGGAAGCCTCAATTTAAATAATCAGTTTTAATCAACTTTATTTGTACTTCAGTTTCTAAAAAAAGGTGCATTCTCATTGGTTAATATAACCATTAAAACATTTTAAGTAAATGGAGCCTGTACACTAGATTTGGTACATCTTTTTGCTACTACAAGGGTATACTATAATTATATACATTTAATTAAGAAATTATATAGCTTAATATTTTCAAATTCTTATTAATTGTGCATTTTTAGTATGTTAGAAAATGGTGAATGATATATTTGTTTATTTATTAGATAATTCACTTTTTGCTCATGAGTTTTTGTCAAGCTTCGTTAGGGTGGCAACTGGAATTTAACTGAACAGATACAACAGCATATACAATTTATTTTTATCAAGCAAAACAACCTCAATGTTTTGGATACATAAACTTCTCTTATCAAAACACGTTCCACATTTTTCATCTAAATTAACCAGAGGGATTAACTGAAGTCAGTGAATTAAATTGATTATTTCAGGTCAGCCTAGAAAAAATTTCAAATATGCCTAAGTGAAAGTGGCTGGAGATTAAATTCCTAGTCTCATCTCTGTCTCTTGAAAATGAGACAGTCTCCTAAATTACTTAGGCTGACCTGTTGTCTTATTTATAAAGCTTGACCTCAAAAGTTAAATGTTTTTCCCTGATCCTGTCTTTACATAGAAAAACAAACTTTAACTCGGCTTTTGATAGAGGCTCCTCAATTCAGCATATTTATTTAAATACTCTTAAGAGATTATAATAAGTTTAGGCCTTAACATATTTTGTATTAAATTCATATTTAATTTTAAATGTCTATTTTTAAAGAGAAAAAGCTTATAACTTAAATTAAAGTCTAGTTTTTTAAATTTTGTTTTTTAAAAAATCAATTTTTACCCACCCCGGTAGAATGAAGGTCATAGTACTGGGAAACTTTATCTTGATATGTCATCAGAAGCTAGTGGGTCATCTTCATATAGCAAGACATCTCATTGCAACAGAAATGATCACACCCCTAGCAACTGAGAATTTCTGCCTGGAATTCAAATATAGTTCCTAATGTTTTAATAAAATATTCACATTAGCCTCTTAAGCAAATCTCCTTATACTTGTCCAGCAAGTAGCCTTTCTGTTTGCAGTTTGCTTTATAAGTATACGATATTTACCTGGGGAGGGGGAGGGGGGGGAGTGGGAGAAATGGTGTAAGCCACTGAGCCACAATGCTGTGTATTTCATGAAGATAAAGTGGTTCTAAGAATCCTCACTGATTTCATCACTAAGAGGAAGATTACTGTTCTCAGGACTTAGGAAAGTTTTGTTTGAAATAAGTGCACCTGAAGGAAAAGTGGCACGTATTGGATGTGAAAGGGGCATTAAGGATTTTCCTGAAGTCTGGAGAGAGGATTTTCCTGCAGGAAAATCTTTTCACCTTTTTGTAACTTACTGCCCTTTTGGAATTGGAAACTAGCAAGGGATTTTATGCTAAAGCTTCAAAATTTCAGACAAGGGCAGAAGTGTCATGAGGTACTTTTTTGAGGTATATTTGGCTTGACCTGAAAAAGCAGGTACTGGAAATCTCACAAAAGAAATCTGCTCACTATTGCATATTGCTTTATTTTTCTTACAATGTGCCTTATATTCTGAAGTAGCTTACACTGAAAAATGAAATAATACTTAACTCCTCTACAGTGCTTTTCATCAGCAGATCTCAAAGCATGTTATAAAGGAGGTCAATATCATTATCCCCATTTTACAGAGCCTAAGCATTTAATGGGAGAAGTTACATTCCACTAATAGTCACGTTAGGTAAACTGGTAATTTCAGTACTGTAAACTCAGCAGTTTAGATATGTCGGTAAACAACTTAAACATATATTTTCATTAAGGGCTGAGAACAAATGTGAAAGGAAAAAAAATTCTTATTTTTTCTCTTACAGGCTGATGTGTGAAACTGTGAGATATGAAAGGCATGAAGCAAACGAAGTTCTGTATTAGTAAGTGTTTCCTCTCTTCTACTAAAATGCTAAAGGGTGTGTTTATTCCAACTTGCTGATTAAAAGTGTGTTCTGTAAACACAAATGAGCCACCTTAACTTCTTCATCACGTAGCATAGAAATGTGCAGGTTCAAACTGGTGTCAGTGATAGAGCTGATGTGCACTGTTGTAACTTTGTAGTCAGTGAAAGGGCAGAGAATTAGTTGGTGTGGAATGTCATCTCCTCAGATTAAGTTGTCACCTGGATTTATATCAATCAAGATAAAGCAGTAGTGACCAGTTTTTCCTGCCATAGGTGCCAGATCAACAAATCTAGCATGGGTAATAATTAGCAGGGATGTGAATTGATGTCATTTCAGATACAGTAGAGATCTCTTAACAGCACACATCCTTAAGTGTGCCATTAATTCTCTCTCTCCTCCCCACCCCCCGGCTAATTTTTTTTCCAGATTTTAATGTAAAGCAGGTAACCTGCAATGCAGTACAGTGTTCATGAGTGGATGAGTTGAAATGTGTATGAATAATGCAGCCTTGCAAATTCTTCTAATCCAGTGGCCCAGAGCCTCTAATTTTGTTTTTGCACAGGCAAATAATTTTTTTGTATTTTCATTATTGATCATGACAAAGAATGGTGAGCATACTTGTATGCTAAATTTTCATGATTGCAAGGTTGGAATAATGTCTGAAATTGGATAAACTAAACAATTGTATCTAAAGAAAGGTATACTGAAAATAAAGATCACTAGAATCTAACACACTCTAATATCATCTAGCCAGCGTAATCTTAAATGATTGATTGTACATAACTATTTTATCAGTGAAACTTATGGTGGCAATCTTTGTTACATTCTAGTTTGACTGCATTCCATTTTTGTGTGTACGTATGTTTAATAATCATCTAGATTCTAAATCTCAGGAAGGTATCGTAGACACCCTGTCTTTGTTTTTTTTGTGAATAAAATAAATGCTGCCATTCACAGAATTTATGGTGGTAATCCTTAAATAAGGATTCAGGGTGTATATTCTGAGGAAAATGTAACATGCAAGTGGAAAATCCTGAAATCTGGGTTAATATGAAGTGCCTTTCCCATTCCTTTGCATTGATTCCCTTTGTCAGGCCTTTCATGTGACTTTATCTTCACTTTGATCTTCTGCCTTTCCTTTCTACTTACTTCTGACCCTTTTTTTTCACTCCATTCAGTTGGTCTAATTGGCAATATCTTCCTATACACACAAGTGTAAAATGTTTTTGGTTTTAGCATGAGCAATATGTGCAACTTGGACTTTATGAAAACTATACAGTACTGGAATAATTTTTTAAAATTGGCTAGGTTGTAGTTTAGCATTTTGATACGTTGTGAGATCAAAGATGGATCCATAAGGAAATCTGACAAATTCTCCTTGACTACTACCTATGTTCACTACATCCTATTTGAGAGTGGCTCTGAAATTCTAGTATTTTCAGTACACTTGTAAGTTTAGTTAATTTCCATCTTATTTCGGTATGGTAAACAGGGCCGGCTCCAGGGTTTTGGGCACCCCAAACAGCCGCGATCGCAATCTGTGGCAGTAATTCGGCGGAAGGTCCTTCGCTCCGAGCGGGAGTGAGGGACCGTCCGCCGAATTGCCGCTGAATAGCTGGACCTGCCGCCCCTCTCCGGAGTCCCCAAGCACCTGGAGCTGGCCCTGATGGTAAACCTCATGGGGGGAAAATCTTGTTCTTTTTTTGTGTCCTTCCTAAGCTTAGCATATGTCTGGCAAGATACGTGTGCGTATTATTGAGGGTTATAAAATTAAAATGTAAAAGAGATGCACTCACTAGCCCTTGTATCTGTGTGTTTCAAGGGTTGTTAGGTAATGTGATAGAGACACTCTTATCTCTAGGACAGTAGTGACCAAAAGTTATTTTTGACCTGAATGAAATGAGTTGGGCATTAATCCAGTTTTCTAGTGGACAGTGCAAAACTTCACAACTGGTAGCCCTTGTTTTGTAGTCTCAAAGGCCAAGGATTTAAGTAGGCATGTTCAATACAGTGCTTCAATTATTTCAGTGCTGTCAATGTGATGGTTTGTCACAAGCTCTAAAATAAACTTAAAAAAAGTCTCTATGGAAGTAGCTGCAACTATGACTGAGCTATAAATGATTGATTGACCTCTTTTTTTCCATGTATATATGAATGATCTCCCCCAGGCACAACTTAATGTATCAATATTGGGAAGCTAAATCTTTATTTCTCTTCATGTGAAGATGAAAACCAATATACTTGCTGTCAGGTGGAACAAACTACCCATAGAAGCAACATACATTCGCTGTAAATATCATGTTTCTAAATAAAGGACTGAAGCCTTGTTTTCTTACGTAAGGGGGAGAGAGCACTACATGGGGGAGGAGAGGCATGAGGGGAGAGGCACCAGTTTTATTATCTAAAGTTATGAGGTACACATTTAAAATTGTAACACTAAAAATTCATCAAAAACCTGACCACCATGCGATCCATTTTTATCTTTGCCCTAAAACAAATAAGCAGTAAGAATTCATAATACCTATATAAATCTTTAATTTTTTTAAATGGCCAAAAGGGAAAAACAGAGCATGTTGTTAAAATTGACTTAGCTCATCTGCATTTACTTTACTATTAGCGGGTGTTTGTGCCTGCAACAAATTCTCAAACCCTAGGGCCATCTCTTTGTTTAACATGGGAACTAGGTTATTAAAAGTGGCAGTTCAGCTCCAGTTATTCTTCATTTGCCAGACATCTCTACTAGTTTCATGTGATGTGAAGTTAATGATAGAAGGGCTAAAAGCCTTTGAGGCAAAAATTCAGGTTTGAGGTTTTTACACACACACACACACACACACACACACACACACACACACACACACACACACACACACACACACACACACACACTACTAC